AAGTCTTACTACTATCCTAGTATATGTGGATGATGTGATATTGGCAGGTAATGATTTTCCGTTTATTGAGAAGACAAAATAATTTTTGGCTAGCAAAATTCAAACTCAAGGATCTAGGAAAGTTGAAGTATTTTTTGGGCATTGAAGTTGCAAGGTCATCACAGGATATATCATTGTCATAACGAAAGTATGCCTTAGATATATTGGAAGACACTGGTTTTCTTGGAGCAAGACCAGCTCGTTTTCCTATGGATCAAAACTTGGCACTCACACAGACAGATGGTGAGTTGCTGAAAGACCCATCCACATATAGAAGACTTGTTGGTCATATAATTTATTTTACAATAACGCGACTAGACCTTGTTTATTCTGTCCACATTTTGAGTCAATTTATGGACAAGCCCAAGCTACCACACTTAGATGCAGCACATCAAGTTTTGAGGTACATAAAGGGGACATCGGGGCAAGGCATCATGTTTTACTGCACAAGCTCACTTCAATGAAGAGCATATTCCAACGCTGATTGGGCAAAATGCAAGGATACAAGAAGGTCAGTCTCGGGCTATTGCATCATGCTTGGAAACTCACTTATATCTTGGAGAATAAAGAAGCAAACCACAGTAGCAAGATCAACAGCGGAGGTAGAATATAGAGCTATGGCATCTCTATGTTTTGAGATAACTTGGTTGAGGTATGTGCTTAATGATCTCCATGTTGATCATTCACAATAATGATCTCCATGTTGATCATTCACAACCAGTTACTTTGTTTTGTGATAATCCAGCTGCACTTCATATAGCATCCAACCCCGTGTTCCATGAGCGGACGAAACATATCAAAATTGATTGTCATTTGGTTCGAGAAAAGATACAAAAAGGTGTTGTCAAAACTGCCCATGTACGAACTCTACAACAATTGGCAAATTTATTCACCAAAGCACTAAGTACCTCCCAGTTTGAAAGTCTTCTTAGCAAGTTGAGTGTAATCAACATACACTCCAACTTGAGGGGGAGTGTTAAAGATTGCGAGAATCAGGGATGAGGATTTGGTCCTACAGTACATATATAGGAAATGTTTCTGTATTATTTGGTTTCTGCTTTTATAAGTCAACATGTAATTACCTAGTTTAGCACATACTTGTGTATATAAGTATGCGTTGTAAACCTTGCTGAATTAATTTCAATCAAAACAATTGGTTGAAACCAAATTGGTTTTCTACAAATATTGATACCTTGCATGTCGGCCAACTCGCCATGGTTTGGCCGGAAATTGCCTCGAAAGGGACGATGTTCGCCGGTAAATTTGGAAAAGCTACTTCGAGCTATTTTTTGCGGTTCACACATATACACCACTTAAAACAACCTTTGATCTAACCCTAAAACATAACCTAAGGGTTTCTAGAAGCTTACCAACATCGGAAAAACAAGAAACACATCGAAGAGGACGATGAACAATGGCACCATCATTGTTGGGGTTCCATGAAGGTTTGCTTGAGTTTTCCCAAGGTTCCTACGTCCAGTGGTGTGAGTTTGGGGTTGTTGTTGCTTATGTGAGTGACAAACTTGAGGAGAGAAGGAGAGATCATAGAAAGAGAGAGATGTCCAAGAGTCATAAGGGGAGAGAAGAGAAGAGAGAGAAAGAGTTATAAAAATCAGAAAAAGAAAGAAAAGGGGAAGGAAATCGGGGGACAAATCAGGAGGTGGGCCCCTTGGGCTCACTAATTAAGACTCAAAAACCAATTTTAAAAGAAAAATATCTAACTCATAGTGAAATTTCACGACAATACCCCTTTTGTTCCTATAAAATCGGGACGGGTTGTTACAATTGTTACTTGTACACCCCAGCCACCACATCCCACTATTAACACCATCACCATACCTCCACCATTGCTGCTCCATCACCACCACCGCAGCCACCACCACCTCCACCACCATTAGCACCATTGTCCCCCACCACTATTGTCGTCTCTCCACTCCTACTACTATGTCCATTTTGTCATTGTATACAATTATATTACTTTAACTTTAAAATTTACCAAACGCTTTTACACTGTTTTTCTTACCAACATCACTTTTAAAATATAGTTAATTAAACGCTCATCTGCTTTACTTTACAGTTGATTATTCTTAAAGTACAACAGAAGCAGTTTTTTTTTTAAAGCATAGCAATCCCAAATTGACCCTTAGTAATCATATTTTAATCTTTAAATTAAATTCGATAAGGATCCAATCCAATCCGATCTAAATCTAATGCTAATTGAATCTCGATCAACAAGTTAGATATGATGGTCTAAATATAATCCAAATTCGTAAATTCAATTACAAACAAATCTGGATATGAATCAAAGTTTGATATCCGAATCGACCTTTTTACAAGTCTACTTAGGCGATCTCCAACCGATGACTGGCCAGATGGCTCATTTTAAACCTTTGGCCCTCAAAGATCCTTTAAGATATTAATATTTTAATGAACAGTACATTACCATATTTTCCTCCGTCTCCAACCGAAGGCCACAGGGCTAGATGGCTCGTTTTAGCCATGTCACAAAAAATCGTCTCCAACCGAGGGCCAAACATAATTTATTATTTAAAAACTACAACTTAAATTCAAATCCAACGGCTAAGTGACGTCAGCTAACTTTTGGATTTGAATTTTTTTTTGCTGTAAATAGGGTGGATATTGGGATATAATTCACACAACTTTGAATTCATCTATTTCAATTCAATTTCTTTCAATTCAAGTTTGCAATGAATTACAACTTTGGATCCTCTTCAGATTCGAACTGGGGGTCTTCATCCAATTCCAAAAGAGAAGCAAAATGGGTGCAAATGAGACGAGAAGATGAGGAGTCTGATGAAGAAGTTCAAGTAAGGCGCAACAAACAAAACAGAGTAGCAGTCATGGCTGCGGCCATGGTGTGTCAGCCAACTGAGGAACAACCTCAATGGGGTGGCTCTATTGTTGGTCGCTCTTACAAACCACAAAACAGAGCGATGACGCATGCAATCCAATAAACAACTACTTCGACCCCAACTCGGTGTACATAGAAGAGGATTTCAGACATCGCTTCCGGGTGAGGTGTCATGTCTTCAAGTGTTTACTTTGTGATGTCCAGCAGGTCAATCTGTACTTTCGACAGAAGCGGGACAGAGCAGGCCGCCCTAGTTTCTCACCTCATCAGAAGGTTACTGTTGCACTCCGAATGATGGCCTATGGCTCCCCAGCTGATTCGATGGATGAAACCCATGGTATGTTTGAGTCTACATGCCTTTATAGTCTTGAAGAATTTTGTGACACAATTGTTTAGATTTACAAAGACGAGTACCTCCACGAGCCAAATCAAGAAGATATGAATCGGCTTATTCGCAAAGCTAAAGACCGTGCGTTTCTGTGCATGATAGGGTCATTAGATTGCATGCATTGGGATTGGAAGAACTGTCCCATCAAGGAGGCTTTAGCGGAAGGTCGAGAAAGCCAATTGTTGTGTTAGAGGCGGTTGCCTCATATGACACATGGATTTGGCATGCTTTCTTTGGAGTCCCTGGATCCCAAAATGATATTACAGTTCTTGGGCATTCACCTCTCTTCAATAACTTGACGGAAGGTAAAGCACCTCAACTTGACTACTACATCAACGGCCGTCAATACAATATGGGGTATTACTTGGCAGATGGCATCTACCCAAAGTGGGCGACACTTGTCCAAGCAATTCCAAACCCTAGGAATGACACGGAAAAGTTGTTTACCTTACACCAAGAGGCATATCGGAAAGATGTTGAGAGAGCTTTTGGTATTCTACAAGCACGATGGAAGATCATTAGCGAACCGGCAAGAGGGTGGAGTCGAGAAAATTTGGATTCCATCATGATGTCTTGCATCATATTACACAATATGATAGTGGAGGATGAATGAGATAGGTATATTGATGGAGAGTCAGATGACCACCAAGAAGATCCAAATAGGTCAAGAAGGGCTCGTGCAAAAATATATGATGAGCATAATTTGCCTTTCAATCCAAGAACTGGTAGTATCTCTATAGATGAGTACATGAGACGCTATAGAATGATACGTTCTTGTGTCACAAACAAGTACCTACAACAAGATCTTGTTGCACATCTTTGGGCCCAAAGAAGCATGGAGTAGGCATTTACGTTTTATGTTTTAATGTTTTTAAAAATGTTGTTTAAGTTTCATGTTGTATAATTTTTATGTTGGTTAATGTTGTTTCATGTTACTTAATTTAATTTAATGTTGTATAATGGCTTAGGAAGTTATAGGAAAAAAATAGAATCTAAAAAAAAATATGAAACAAATTTTGTGAAATAGAAGTTATAGGAAAAAAATGGAATTTAAAAAAATATGAAACAAATTTTGTAAAATAGAAGTTATACGAAAAAAAATATGAACCAAATTTTGTAAAATATAAGTTATAGAAAAAAAAGGTTTAAATTCATAAAAAAAAAAAATTGAATACAACGGCTAGTGACTGGCTAGCCGTTGGAATTCAAATTAGAATTCAAATTAGAATTCAAATTAGTGTCAGATTGGAATTCAAATTAGAATTAATGACGGTTTTAACCGACACTGTTCAAACTGCTATTATATTAACATTGCTATTAGTGTCGGTTAAAACCGACACTAATAATATAATATATATTATTTTTGTCGGCTATAACTGACAGAAATAACAAAACATTAAAAAAAAAATGGCCAGCCCTCCAGCCCTCTCCGATTCCGTGGGGCCCTCCCAGATTCCAGATCCCTCTAGCCTAGCCATCGGTTGAAAATGATTTTCGAACTATTTTCGACTATCTAGTCCTCTGAACCTTTCAGTTGGAGATGGTTTAAGTAGCACTAACAGTTTGGTGACTTAATGTTAGCTTGCTCCACCATCACCTAACTGATAACTCCATTCAAAATGGGGGACAGAGCTAATAAATCCCATGACTTCATTTCAGTAGCAGATTCATTGGTCGTATGGCCCACCAACAGCAACTTGATTTTCTGGCGTACGAGATAGATTTTTCAGTGTGAGGTACCACTGCAGGCCACTACTGATTATCTCTTTCCATTTACCAGTTTCGACTTTTTGCAGCTATGGCGGGAACCATCCAAGCCCTGATTCTCACGCCCCGACCCGCCAACCCGCCAACCCGCTGCCGTTTGCTCACCGACTCCCACATTTTCCGTCCAAACATGCCGCATTCCGCTTCGATCTTCAACTTAACCGCTGTATCTCGAATCCCGTCAAAGCCTGGCAACACCCCGATCAGGTTCTCTTTACTTGTTTGAGCTCTGTTTGGTAACTCAAAACTAAGAATTCTACTTTTTGCTTCGTCTTGATGTAGTGTAATCGGACCTGATAATTCGGTACCTGAACTAAAATGTGTGTTTGGGAATGCTTGTTGGATCCAGTTTTTTGTTTCTGAAACTGATGAGTATTAAGTAATTTAGCTACATTCGTCATTTTTGGAAACAAAAAATTGGATCGAAGAAGGATACCAAACAAACAGTCCCTAACTAAGTGACTTTTAAGTCTCAAATTTAGTTTATAGAAATGTGAATGCTGTTTCAGAAAGATGGCAATGGAATCAAGAGGCATTCGGGTTCGGTTAAGGGCTTGAATTGGGCTAAACCTTTGTCGAATTTTGTTGCGAATAATTTTCTTTCCTTAGGTGACTTCTAACTCTATGTTTGGATGGAAATTGTGTGTGTGTGTGTTTGAGATATGTTTTTATTTTATTTGTTTTTGTGTAATACTGTGTGCAGTTCTTGTTGGTGGAGCAGCTTTAGGGCTTGCAAACCCTAGTTTAGGTTGTCTTGCTGATTCATACTCTTTCACAAAAGTCAGCACATTTGGGGTTTTTATCATCTCAGGTTTACAATTCTGCCTTTCTCTGGTTCCATTCTGTTTGATGCTTGTTTAGTTTATGCCGCGAATTATGCCGAATTTGTTTGATGTGATTGCGTAGGGTTGACATTGCAAACTGGAGAAATTTTTGAAGCTGCAGAAGCATGGCCTGTCGGAATCTTTGGGCTAGTAAGTTAACTCTATATTGATTAGAACAGATATGAAAGACAGATTTAGTACATTTCACGGCATAAATTTCATAGTATTGGGTCGATAGAAGTCTTTATTTCATGTTGGTTATATATTACCTTTGAAACTTCTTTCTCGATCAAGTATGCTTCAATAGAATATGTTGTACAAGCTTGCTTTCGTTCCTCTAGATCTTGGGAAACAATGGAGGAACACATGACAGCTTATGTTAAAACATTATTGCATCCCGTGGTCTAAAATCGTGTGATGCTATTCCGTGTAATAATTGTACCGAAATATATGAATATGGATTGACTAATATTGTCTTCTGTCTTCGTTGTCCTCTCCTACTTCAAATTTGACTGGTGAAAAAGTGTTGGGGCGAGATCTCATAACTGAGAGCTCAGTCATTATCTTTTGTTTCTGTAAGTTGTGGGACTTGGTTTTTCTTGTTCTTTTTTCTAGTTGATATGCGATCATTCTTAAACTGTGATTTATGGATACTACGTGCATTTACCTATCATTGATGCTGGCCAATGTGTTATGATATTATTAAGGGAACTTTAACCAAAAATTTCTGGTACTGTTCAAAAAACCACATTTTTACACTAAAAAGTAAATCCTGGTACTATTCACTTTACCCTTTATTTTGTCCTTATCGTTAAAAAACTCAAAGTTTTCAAACCCTTTTCTTTAAAATGAACAGTACCAGACTTTACTTTTTAGTGTAAAAATGTGGTTTTTCATTAAAGTAAACAGTACCAAGAGCTTTTCGTTAAAGTTTCCTTAATAATAAGTATTATTAATCCTGTGATCATTCTTAATCTGAGACTTATGATATGACTTCGATTGATGCTAGCCATTCTGTGATCTTATTGATGTTTGTTTCCATGATTCAGGTCTCCATTCTATTATTTACTCCATGTTTTTCGAGGGCAATATTGCAACTGCCGCTCCAACCTAAAGAGTTTGTTAGAGGTTTGGCAATTAAATTATGTCTCAGTTACACTATCCTTAAGAGAAGAGGTCGCACTTGGTGCGATGGCAAGTGCCTTCGCCCATGAGCGGTAGGTCTCGGGTTCGAGACTTGGGAGCAGCCTCTCCATAAATGGGGGTAAGGCTAGCCGACATTCACCTCTCCCAGACCCTGCGTAAAGCGGGAGCCTTGTGCACTAGGTACGACCTTTTTTACAGTATCCTTAAGAGGATGTTATCTAATATTGTAGGTTAAAATGCTTAAACTGAATCAAATTGCTATTAAGATTTGTGCCTGTACGTATCAAAGTTATAAATGGAACTTGGTTTCCTGACTCGTCTCAAAAAATAAAAACTAAAACAAAACAAAAAAGCCAACGAAAAAGTTCCTAAAATTGCCCGTAGAAACCATCCTATTCTATTCCATCAAATCAACTAAGTTAGCTCAATCAATAGCCATAAATTAGATAGACCAATTCAGCTAACTTAGCTCAATATTTGAAATGACGATGGAGCTAACTTAGGAGATCATGTAGGGAAAACCAAGCAAAACCCACCAAAATTCAAGGGCTGGCTATGGTTCAAGCTACAGCACTGTCCCTCAAAATTTCATACCAAACAAGAAAGAATTGCATTATGATTACTCAGGCTCCATATTTTTGACAGGAACAAGCAAGAGATGGAAAGCTTGATCATCTTTGGTATGATACCGAAAAGTAATTACTTTCTAGAACATATTCTTGATCTTATATTTTGCTTATGGCTTCAACTCGACCTAAGATCAGGAATCCTTTAGGTGATTGGTTTTAGGGTTTAGGGTTACTTATTCTAACTAAGCTTCAACTCAAAATATTCTGTGGCCTTGTTTCTGGTTGCTTGATTTGAAAATGCGTTATTTTGTTGCGTGAGTTAGCACGGGATTTACATAGTGGTGAATCATTCCTCTTTTATCTCTGAAGCTTAGTTGGAAAACCATATGGTAATTTCTCTATTGTTGCAGGGCTTGCACTATTTTGCTGTATGCCAACCACATTATCAGTTGCAGTGGCGCTTACTCAGGTATGCTAGTTCCATTATCTTCGATCTTATTTGAACATTTTCATTTTTTTTCAAAGTTTTTTGCAGTATGTACTCCGTTTGGGGATTGTTTAAAGATTTGTGTTCTTTAAATGCAGCTTGCTGGAGGCAATTCTGCCCTTGCTCTTGCAATGACTTTGAGCTCTAACGTGTTGGGAATTTTAGTTGTGAGTTTGGGAGTCCCCTGCATTCTCAGTTTTATCTGTTGGTTTACATATTTATTTAATACCAGATTGTATTAAAATAGAATTTGCATCTGCATGTTTTGCAGCAATATTTAAGTGCTCTAGTTGATCTCTTTAAAAAGCATATACTAATATCATATCCTTCTAGGTCCCATTTTCTATATCAAAATTTGTAGCTGACGGATTTGGCGTATCTGTTCCAACTAAGCAGCTATTCAAAAGTCTCGTTCTCACATTGTTGATCCCTCTGATATTGGGGAAGGTAATCAATTTTTTCTTTTCTGTTACTGTCAGGAAAATAGCTATCTTATCAATGTTTCCAATAAATCAACTTTTTAATTTATCAACTTACGTTCAGAAAGTATATATTTATGCTGAAATCGATTTTATTAGATTTCTGATAGTTCTTAATTATGGATGTGATCTTCAACCAAAAAAAGTAAATAATAGATCATAAATGTGGTCTTTTTATACCACTGTCAAAACATTATTCTATCCTCTGGTGTTTTGTCGCTTTCTATTTACTTGTTCCTTTGCATAAACAGATTTGTCGAGAATCCTTAAGAGGTGAGTATCCTTCTCTCTGTTCCAGAAGTTTTCTTAATTCTAGGATATTTTTGTTTTAGTTAATATCTTTTATAATAATTTGTAGCTTTTAACAAGTACTAAAATTCCTGCACAATATGGATGAAGGGATCAGTCTCATTCTAAAGAATTTGCTAATACATAGTACATACACAAAATCAATACATACACAAATATACACACTACGTACAGTGCATTTGTATAAAAAGAAGTATCCAAACTATCCACACTTAGCCTGGTATTAATTAGTTATATGCTTAACATACTATACTAGATTGGAGATTCCACACAGCCTCTGAGTTATTACATGACATTAATATTTATATCTTTAATTATTATTTAATTTAAGAGTACAGGAAAGTCTTACAAATTAAAACTGAAAACTTACTCTCCTACTTAGAGCAAGTCCATCCCCAAAAAAAATGCGCTGGCACTCAACCCATTTAATCCACTCAGTGATAGACTTCATGAACAGTAAATTGACCAAATGCTTCTCCATCCCTAAAAAATGCGCTGGCACAAAGTCTAAAAATGCACTGGCACAAACGATATTCACCCTTACAAAGTACGCTGGCATCCGGCCCATATAAAATATTATTAATTTTTTTATAAAATAATAAATTTTAAATTTAGTCTTAATTTCGAATAAGATTTTTAGCCAATCTCTCGTCACGCCACGTGTTATTATCCGAATGTACTATTTTGTGAATAGATTTCCGTTAAGATTTTCAACCAATCTTGACGCACCACGTGTCACTATCTATTTATAATAATTTAGCCAAGATTTCGATAAGATTTTCAACCAAACTTGTCATGCCACATGTCATTATCTGAACGTACTATTTTGTGGATAGATTTTCAACCAATCCCGACGTGCCACGTCACTATCTGTTTACAATAATTTAGCCAAAATTTCGATAAGATTTTTAACCAATCATATAGTGCCACGTGGCATTGTGCAAAACCTCATCCTTTTTTTTTTTTTTGTCCAGATAAACCCTACATCCCTACATCGTTTTTATCGTTTTTAAATCTTGAGTTTTTACAATGTCTTCTTTTTAGCTCATTATTCACACACCAAACTCAATACTTCATTTTAGCTAAGAATCATTCTTCATCGTTTTTAAATCTTGAGTTTTTACAATGTCTTCTGCAAGGAGATTGTTCAAATAATTTGAGGAGCAACAGAAAAGATTGTTGGCACAACTGGAACAATTGTTCAATCTCAAGGAAGGTGGAGATGAGGCTTTTGCAATGGAGGAGGATGATGAACATATAAGGCAGAGGGCCTCACATTCTCGCCGTGTCATGAAAGCTGTGGGTCAAATATCCAAATCCATACGTGCTGCAAACTTGGATAGAAAGAGGGAAAGATGAGGTAAATATCTCTTGGAAGATTATTTTATCCCCAACCGTGTATTCCCTGATTATGTTTTTAGACGTCGTTTTAGAATGCAACGAAGTTTGTTCGACAAAATCATGAGTGATATTTGCAACCATGATCCATCCTTTGTGCAAAAAAAAAAAAGAAGATGCTTTTCATATTCTAGGTCTTCTTCCTGAACAAAAAATTAATGTTGCCTTGCGGATGCTTGCATATGGAGCATCTGCATATCAAGTGGATAAGATAACAAGGATGAGAAAATCAACTGTTTTGGAGTCCTTGCTGTGGTTTTGCTCCGCAATAAAACCTCTATACCAATGAGTACGTCCAGAAACCCACGCCAGGAGACATACGAAGGTTGCTGAGGAAGGGTGAGATGTGAGGCTTTCCTGGCATGATTGGAAGCATTGACTGCATGCACTAGACCTGAAAAAACTGTCCAAGTGCGTGGCAAGGAGCTTATGGCTACAAAAAAGAAACCAAAAGTATCATTTTGGAAGCGGTAACTTCATTTGATATATGGATTTGGCATACATTTTTTGGTGTTCCAGGAGCTCAGAATGACCTAAATGTCCTTGTCCAATCCGTAGTTTTCCATGAAGTGTTGCATGGGAAAGCACCCAGAGTCACATATTGGGTCAATGATCATCTATACTAAGAAGCGTACTACCTTACAGACGACATTTACCCATGGTGGACAACGTTTGTCAAAACAGTGCCACATCCACAAAGTGAAAAAGAAAAACACTTAATGTCAAGAGGGGTGTAGGAAAGATATGGAGCGTTGTTTTGGTATCCTACAAGCTCATTGGGTGATTGTCAGGGCTGCTGCCAGAATGTTTGCTGTCGAGGATCTTCGATCCATCATGATGACATATATCATCCTCCACAACATGATTGTGGAAGATGAGTATGATTATGATGCCCTTGATGAATACGAGTCAGACACGATGAACAATTCAAGAACATGCATCTATTGTGCTCATGACCGCACTAAAGATCCCGTGCAACACGAGTCATTTGAGCGGGATGGACGGTACAATCAATTGATCGTTAAGAGGTATGCTTCAATGCAAGAGCCATACTGGCACTGTACCCATTGAAGTGACTTGATTGAGCACCGGTGGGGATTGCAACAAGGTGAAGATAATTAAAAGGAGTTTGCGGTGGAAAAATAAAGTTCTTAGTTTATTTAGTGTATTTTTTTAAAGTTTATTTGGTGAGTTTATGTAATTTTATTTAGTGTTTTTTTAAGTTTATTTAGCGAGTTTATGTAATTTTTTTTCGTGTGTTTTTTTAAGTTTATTTGGTGTGTTTAAATAAAGTACTAAAAATATTTAAGAAATTACATCTATTACTAAAAATAAATAAGAAAGAGAGTTGTTATTGGCATTCAAAAAAAGCTTTTTATATTAGCACCCCACAAAATGTTGAATGCACCCCACATTAAAATTTAATATTAAATGACTTATTTACCTCATTATGCAATGACAATTTTGACCTTATTAGGTTTTTTTTTTAAAATTCTAAATACACCCCAAATCACTTTAAGCGTATTATTTATCTTCTCAACTATCAAAACCCTCTCATTCTCTATTGTTGAACAAAACTCTAACCAATGAAACTACAAACATGTTGATTGAGAAAAATTGTTTTTGACAAATGGAACACGAAATCGATGTTTCAGAAGCTTCATATGAGTTAAGACTTCATATTTTTCATTGTTTTAGTGATTTCGATGACATCGATAATTATTTAATCTTGCGTTTGCTACGTTATTTAAACTTTTATATTCATATTCATCTTTTAGGGTTCATATTAATCTTGCGTACCCAGTAACATGAATCATATTAGTGCTAGAGTCAAATACTATTACAAAGTAGGTAACCCGCTCAGCCTTAAATAAGGAGTTCAAAGCGTAATTGTTAGGTGATATGGAAGTGAAAAGAAACCTAAAAGCTTGGAGGAAGTGGGGTGTATAGAAAATTAAAATTGAGTCTTATAAGATTTGAGAAATGTGGGGTGTATGTATAAAATATAAAGTGTATATTGAGAATGTGGGGTGTGAAGGTATTATGGGAAAGTATGTGGGGTGTATTAAGATAATTTTTAAGTGAAAAAGCAAATGTGGGGTGTATTAAGTATGTGGGGTTTATTCAACAATTTGTGGGGTGTTAATATAATAAGCCTTCCAAAAATCTCATTCTACACTTCCAAACTTTTTATATTTGGAAAGAAAAATACATTTGTGAAGAGTATAAAATGAGATTTTTGGAATGTCAATAACACTTCCCATAAGAAATTACATAAAGTACTACAAATAAATAAGAAATTACATAAAGTACTAAAAATAAAGACGAAATTACATAAAGTACTAAAAATTAAGACGAAATTAAATAAAGTACTACAAATAAATATGAAATTATATAAAGTATGTGGAGCTAGGATATGTGGTGATAGGATCTTCGTTGCTAGGACCTGTGTAGCTAGAACCCCTCGACTTGTTTCCGCATCTCTTGCACGCCTCATTTGCACCTTTTTTTTCCGATGTCCAAAAATATTTTGAATTCAGAGACAGTCCTACTAGAGGCTTGTTCATAGTATCACGATCTGCTTGAGCCATCCTTTCTTCTCTAACCATCTCGCTTTCTTGATTAAGTGCTTCTCTAATCATCTCGTTTTCTCGATTAAGTATTTCTGTTTGTCTCTCAACCGCCGCATCACGTCTTTCAGTAGGTGCTAATATTGTTGCCATAAGCAACTTTTTCTTCATCTCTAGCCACTTGCCGCCCCATGTTCAGTTCACCTTGGCGAGCAAGTTTGTCCATATATTTTGTGTAGTCATTTTTGGAAGAACTCCCTTTTTTCTTTGCCGTCTTTTTACCTTGAGGCCTTAGGGACTGATGAGTCGGTTGGGTTTTCGGCACTTCTTCGGGCGTCCTTCAAATGTGTCTTTTTCTTGTGCGGCCTTGTCTGGTTCTGGCTAACTGTGTAGAGGGATGTCGTGCATGACAACTTCTGGGACCTGTTGGCATAATTTTGTATCTGGGACAATCTTTGACAACATCCCAACATTCTCATTTGGTAAATGATTTGTTGTGGTTCTTCAAATTGTAGAATGCTTGTGCTTGTAGTGTCTACAAAATGTGGGATAAGACAATATTATAAAATGCGGGTGTAACACAAATAAATAAATTAAAATATTGATGCGGGTGGAATACATATAAATAAATAAAAATATTGTCACTTGATCTGCTAAACTTGTCCCACTACGCAAATTAGTGGAAGCAATCGAGACAGCATTTTTCCAACAAGTAAAGGATATGTTGAGTTTTTTCCAACGACCTTGAAGACCTTGACTACTTTTGGCATCTTTTCCAAGCCTAGAGCAAAATGCTTACGTAATTATACTCCACATTTCTCGCAACTCCATCTCATTACCCGTAATCGGGTCATGAGTAATTTGAACCCAACATTCACACAACGTAACATCTTTGGCAAAACGCTTCCCTAATTCTACTCCACATTTCTCGTAACTCCATCTCATTACTCGTAATCGGGTCATGAGTAATTTGAACCTAGCATTCACACAACGTAACATCTTCGATGAGCTTCCACCTAACCATCAACATTCACACAACGTAAAAAAGAGACTTGTGCGAAGGAGGCGTGCAAGAGACACGGAAACAAGTTGAGGGGGTTCTAGCTACATAGATCCTAGTAACGAAGATTCGAGCACCACATGTCCTAGCTCCACAAACTTTGTATAATTTCATATTTATTTGTAGTACTTTATTTAATTTCGTCTTAATTTTTAATACTTTATGTAATTTCGTCTTTATTTTTAGTACTTTATATAATTTCTTATTTATTTTTAGTATTTTATGTAATTTCTTATTTATTTTTAGTAATAGATGTAATTTCTTAAATATTTTTAGTACTTTATTTAAAAGGAAAACTAATAAAAAAAGGCTTGAAACTTTGAGTTTTAATGATAAGTACAAAATAAAGGGTAAAATGAATAGTACTAGGATTGACTTTTTAGTGTAAAAATGTGGTTTTTTCGTTAAAGTGAACAATATCGGAAGTTTTTCGTAAAAATTCCCTTATTTAAACACACCAAATAAACTTAAAAAAACACATGAAATAAAATTACACAAACTCACCAAATAAACTTAAAAAAAATACATTAAATAAACTAAGAATGTCATTTTTCCACCACAAACTCCTTTTAATTATCTTCACCTTGTTGCAATCCCCACTGGTGCTCAATCAAGTCACTTTGACGGATACAGTGCCAGTATGGCTCTTGCATTGAAGTGTACCGTTCAACGATCAATTGATTGTAACGTCCAT